CACCTGGATGGGTTGTTGTCTGTTGCCTGATGCATGGAGGTATTTTTTAAAAGGGAACTGCACAATGGAGCTGCATGCAGAGGAGGGATGAAGGCCTGATATTTCCACCAAAAATAACTGGCTTGTGCAGAACTGAGAAGGAACGTGCCACAAATAACTAAGGACTTTATCGCACAACCCCTGTTCACGTGGCAATCACGCAAATGAATGAAAATGCAAACATACCATTTTGTAAGCAGCCATTACTTATGTGCAAAATTCACACACAATTAGTTCACGTAGCGAAAAGCATTTTCTGCACAGAAAATAGCATTTCCATGCAGAGATATTATTTCCTGAGCAGAAAGTACTGTTCTCTGCACACACAAAAATTGCTGTTTCCTGCACGGAATATGCAGGTTTTGTGCAAAACAACCCCGTGTGAATTTTGTGCAGAAAAAGTCCTGAATTGAGAATAGACTGCGTGGTTTTCAAAGACTTTCTGGCAGCAGGACGAAAACTGTTCAAATTACTTGTATCTTTCTTTGAGAAGACACTTGGTGAACAATTGCATCCCCAGAGCAGTACACTATGCAATGTGAATTACTTTTCTAACACTGCAGTGGTGAATGATAGGAATAAAGCATCTTCACCCCATAGACTGTAATGAGGTTCAGGAACAAAGTGCTTTTGAAAAGCAACTTTCCAAAGGTAATGAAGGAGCTGGAGGAAATGGAAACTTTGAATCTAGTGTTTCTAGTAACTTTTATAAAGGACAAACTGTTAGCAGACTTGTTGGGAAAATGAGGTTTCAGAGGGGAGCTGTTTAATGGACTGGAAGAATTTATTTGAGGACTGGCCAATGGTCTGTGCAGCACAAACTCACCAAAAATACTTTTCTAGCTAGCTTCAAGTACAGTTGGTGGTTCAGGGTTCGTTGGTTTCCTTAAAACAGAGGAAAGCACTATATGGAGCAGGTTTCACAGCATTAATGGTGCTTAATGTGTACTTGTGTATGTGTTGGAGAATCTGGAAATAAGTACAAAATTGGGGTCCCTGAGATCCTCAGCTCAGTAGTCAAGATCAAGTTCCTAGTCCATGTGGCTGTAATGGAATTTATCCGATGTATGAAAGGAAATGCACACTGGGATTCAAAAGGCAGAAGAACTTCACTTTCTTCTGCCTTTTCATGACTAGTGAAATATTCGGCAATATCAAATAATATGAAGGAATGTGCCTCAAACGGTGTAATGGTTTGAGAGTTGGACTACAACTCTAGAGAGTTCATTTCCAAGCTCAACCATGAAACCCACTGGGTGACCTTGGACAAGTAACACACTCTCAGCCTCAGGGGAAGGCATATGGCAAACCTCCTCTGAACAAATCTTGCCAAGAAAATCCCAAGATAGGTTCACTTTAGGGTCGCCATTTGTTGGAAATGACTTGAAGGCATACAGCACACACACACACACACACACACACACACACACACACACATTTGTAATATTGTCAAGCCATGGATGGTTGATTCTGTGGATAATGAATCTGTGATATGGAGGGATGGCTGTATTGACTTGATCTTGTAGAGCTGGTTAACAGCTCAGAAAGTTACTTTTATAACACAGTTCTTGCCCACTATTTATTACAGTGTTTGCAAAGGAATCCATTATTCCTAGTCATTATAGTGTTAACCCCCATCTGGACAGGTGTAAAAACCTTCTATTAAATGCCTTGATCTACAGGGGACTTTATTGTACTGCATGTCCTATGTCCATAGGAGGTTTTGTACATGCAGAAAAATACCTGAACACCATTGTGCATGACAGGTAGGAACATTGCTTACATGTCTTTGGGTGACAATGTCACAAATATAGGTCTGGTTCTCTATGAATTCTGCAATAGATTGTGACTTTGGAGGACTAACTTGGCTGCCTGCAGTTATAAACATCTCTCTTTTTGTTTCACTTCTGACATTGCTTGGTGCTTTCCCGTTATTTTTTTAAAAAGAAAAGTTAAAATTTATAAAAGAATGATATAGTGCATTGGGTCTGTGGAAGAAAGGTAAGTGTATGTAAAGTGTGGCTTGTGATTGTTAGTTACCATTACATTTGCATTAAAAAAAACACACACCACAACCCACTACTTTCTTGTTTTTCAAAAGTAGCTAAAAGAGATCCTTCTGGTGAATTTTTAAAAATTAGAATGCCACCAGCTGCTTTCCTGCAATACAAAAGATACCCTTCTCCCAACACACACCATCTTTTCAATGCCCAACACAAAGCATGAGGCAGCAACTCAAGGTAAGGCACAAGCCAGCACAGGAACCCTATAATCTTCCTCCTCCACCCTTTAGTGAGTCCACACCTCTCTAAGAGTAACTTTTAAAAAAACAAAGTTATACCATAATGGAATGACACTGTCTGTTGTTAAGTTACAGCTGTGTTGTAATGTTATTATGCCTTCATTATTGGTAAAAGAAATGAATTATGAAAAACATATTATTTGTATACCATATGACATTCTAGTAATAGAGATGCAATATGGAGAAAAGATATAAGTTTAATGACAAACCTATGTCAAATAGTGTTAGTATCCAACTGTCAGTTAATATACAATTATCCGGTGATTCCCCAAACTTTGGTCTTCCAGATGTTTTGGACTTAAGTTCCCAGAATTCCTGACTGTTGGCCAAGCTAGTTGGGGTTTCTGGGAGTTGAAGTCCAAAACACCTGGAAGACCAAAGTTTGGGAATTGCTTCTCCAATACCTTTCTCACATGAACTTTTAATAGAAACTGCTCCTTGCAAGTAATATACTTAGTAATTAACCAAAAGGCAATCATTTATTCACAATATAAACAAAGAGCAAAACAAGGAGGAGCATACATTGTATTTAATGAGTATTATTAAGTCCATGGACACAGCTTGTTTAAGCAAAACATATTATTTGTCCCATAAGTTTTGAGCAAAACTAATGGTGGAAAAGTTTTGGAGAGAGATGTTTTTTCTCCATGAAGGACAGCCATGCTTCACAATTGTGGCAATGCATTTTCCTTAAATTCTTGTACATGGGGTTGGAATGGTTATAATACAGGGGGAAGGAAATAAGGGAGGAAGAATCTATTGCTACTATTTGTCTGAATTTGAAAAGAAATGGGAGGCTGGGTGTTATCCGGACATGCTCCCTTGGTCCTTGCAATCTGTTTCGGAGCAACCTCTGCCTTTGCCTCTTGCATAATGTATATAAATCTGCTCGTTCAGTGCAATGACTCTGAACAAAGAAATTGCCAGCCCAGCAAAGTTTTAGCTTCACGGTGCCGGTTTTCAGGCCTTCCTATCACAGAAGGATTAAGGCAATCCCTAGTGAATAAGAACGCCTGGCCAATTATCAACCGGATGACTGGGCAAAGCCGGCTCCGTTGTCATTTGTCACCCTGAACCCAGGGAACAGGACTGGAAGTTTCTTTTGTCAAACTCCCTTCCTAGACCTGAGCTCAGATCTCCCTCGGTTTGGCTCATGGGTGCAGATTTGCTCCTTCTTTCATGGCCAAAACCAGCTGGGTGCTCAGGGATGGGTGCTTGTCCTTCTTGCTGTACGTTGCATGTTGTTGTGTGCCCTCAAGTCATTTCTGACATATGGCGACCCTAAGATGATCCTATGATGGAGTTTTCTTGGCATGTTTCTTCAGAGGAGGGTTGTCACTGCTGGCCCCTGAAGCTGAGAGAATGTGACTTACCCGAGGTCACCCAGTGGGTTGACATGGTTGAACCGCAGGCCAGGGCAAACCTCCTCTGAACAAAGAAGACCCCGTGATAGGTTTGCCTTAGGGTCACCGTAAATCAGAAATGACGTGAAGGCACACGACACACACAGGTTCGCTTTACGGTCCCCATATG